CTCCAATTTTTCTAAAAACAACCACCATATATAATAATAGTATATAATATGGTTGCGTTCTCTTTGTAAATGTCAGAAATATTTGGACTTAAAATTCATTTTCAATATGAAGTATGTGTAAACTTTTAATAATTATCGAAAATCAAGTAACCAAAACAAGCAAAGCAAGCAAAAAGCATTTTCCGGTATTCATTTGTTTCATTTCAAATATCCAACCGATTTCGAACAATTCCTACAACTTTTGTATATATGTAGTTACAATTTTTTATTTAATTTATGGTGTGTCAAATTATAACTAGGCACCCTGTACGTCATATTAGTTATATTATTGGTGCAATTACCTAAGAAATATACTTATGTATTTTTGTAATATATGCTTTTTTTAACTTAACACATCTTTCAAAATTCAAAGTGACCGTAATGTAGAAAAGGATTTGCCGTATAATTTCACCTAAAATATTTTTAAAAAATTTTTCGAAGAAATTGAAATTGTACAGTCCTCTTCTTTCTTCTTGAAAGACTTTCAGAGAGCACACTCTAGAAGCCAACAGATCGTCAGCAATAAACAGTCCAAATGAGACGTAAAAAAAACCAAGAAAGTAATGTAATGTAATCTGTCAGTGCCAGTGACTAACCCCTCTTGTGAATGGACAATAGTATAACAAAAACAGCACTTATCCCGCCTTATGAAATTCTGCACACGCAAATTAATACGATTATGTGTGGATTAATTTGGAAATGACGACAGGTTTCTAAGCAACAGGTCTGTTATAGTATGATACAGACCAAGGTGGAAATACTGGCATTGACTTAGAGTGGTTACAGCATGCGAAATCAACATTTTTTTTAAAACTCTGAAATATCAAGCTTAATCTAGCTTTACCGTCTATTAACCATTACTATGACTGAAATGTGTAACTTTATTCGCAATAACGAAATGATGAAAACTTAATATGCACTTGATGATCGAGGTTTTAATCGGTTCGACTGGCGTCAAAGTGCAGTGGGGATTGTTTATCTGTGGCTAATTGTTTGAACGCTGCCGCTGCTCAAACAAAGTGTTCGCAGGTTGATAAAATTGAAATAAACGGAAATTACATTACGCATAGATAAAATCGAGTGAGCATTGGGATTTGTGGCGCTTCTCGCGTGTCCAAAATTAACGGCCAGTGAAATGCGATGGGTGCAAAGTTAATTGGAAATGGTTTTTGAGTGCGCCGCTCGTCTTGTTTTATTGCCTAAATAGATTGCGTTCTCAGACTCTAGCCGATATGAATGGTATTAGTTGTTTCTTCATTTAATGTGTCCAATAATGTATTTATTTATTCAATTTAAGGATGAATATCAATGAAAGGTGGTTCTTATATGCATTAAATTAATTAACAATTCTAGGCTGGATTATTCTTAAATATTGAGCAACAACTTCGAAACATGCTGCCATCGAGTCTGAGGAAAAGTGCTAGCCGTAGTTTCCACTTCGGTTTTTATTTTATTAATTATTGAAAATTGGAAATTTCAAAGGGGGTATGTGCCATTTTTTGATATATTCATATTTGGCGTTAGAATTGTCGTATGTGCCCCTCTGAGAAAAGGAATATGTGCATATCTGAATAATTGAGTAACCTGCATTTATCTTATTTTTATGAACACCAGCAATTATAACCATTGTTACAAATTTAAACAATTTTTCTTGGTTATCTCAAAAACGCATTTTATGCCCATACCCCTTTTCGCATTTCCACGCTTCCATTCTTGAAATTCCCGAGATGGCCTTTTTAAGAAGCCCAGATTTTCTCCGAGTTCAAAGCAAAAATGTTTCTGCATTCTGTCATTCATTGAATGTCATATATGTTACACTTTTCAGTAAGAGGAATAACAATATTAGTTAGCACTGCTACTGAAGAGATAAACTGAGATTATACACCGATCTAGCGTGCATTTGACCACGTCAGTTTCGTTTCCCACGGATCCGAGCCACTTCGCACAGTTTCGAGATATTATAGCACATGTTTGCGAGCAATCGGATGTTTTCGGAGTTATTACCTTACAGCTTGGATTTTGACGTTTGTAAATTTTGACCCCGAGAGGTCACTTAATATATTCTTGCTGTTTTGCAAAAATGTACCCAAAAACGAACAGTCGTAGAAAAAGTATAGTATGCAACAAGTTTGGTAAGCTTTTTATGTCACTTATTTAATAAACATTCGCTCCGTTCGCTTCTCAAATGCCGTTTAGCACATTTGTAACATAATACTCGACGCAGGAGAAATCCAGAAAGAATGTACCAACAATATAAACTAACTTATTAACTTTTAAAAGATTAAAATCATTCTATATTGGATGTTATTTTGCTGGATTAAATAGCTTTTATTGCCGGTTGACTTTCAATGTAGATCGCAAATTCTTTTATTCCAATTTTTTTTCATCTTTATTTCTATTGCACGATGTTCTAGCTCTGTGACTGTGACTCTCAAATGCATTGCTTTCTTGGAAAAATATAGCCTTATTCCATATACTACTGCCGGTTTCAGTCCTATTAGGACTCGCCTCTTAGTAAATATCGTAACTGTCATTTTCTTCGGTTAACTGTTCGCTACTCATTTTAACATCAGTTTTCAACGATTTTTATAGCCTCTGGGCTTTTTTCTGGTAGAGTGCTAGTAAAATTTTCTGGTACCACAATCACTAAGTCTGCATATCTTTGGTAATAGAAGCCCACCTACTGCTAGCTGCTCCTGAATAAACTATACATTTTTATTGTTTTTTGAATTTTATTATTCGTTATTTGGACGTACTGACTGTGACAGCAGTATTCCAATAGGCATTGTATGTATTCCCTTGGATTAATTATCTTAAACAAGGAAAGAATCAGTTGTTTTTAAGTTAACGGGTTTTTAATTTTAAAGCAATCATTAACCACAAAATGGCAGCAAACGCGAGCGTCCAAACCTCATTATAAAGGTAATCTTGCAGCCCGTTTAAATATAAACTTACGCTCGAGCTTTAAATTTTTCAGTCTCTCCAGCGCAGCGCGTTAGAGATAGAATCGGCGAACAAATAAATTGGATGGAACGCCAACGTCGCGTTAGTGCGGTTGTCCTAAGTACATAAAAGACCGCGAAAATTAGTTTCTGTACTGTAGCGAAATAAAGCACCTGTTAATAGCGATAACACATGCACGTACTACCGACCACTGGCGCAAAATCGACGCGGTCGGCCAACCAAGGCAGACGGCCGTAGCGAAATTTCACCGAAATTACCTGCCCATTATCTATAACTTGTTGGTCAACTCGCCTATACTAGCGGCACAGTTTAATTTGATAAACATTTTAGCTTCGGAGCGTCCGTTTAGCATGAAATTAACAGAAAATGTGGATAACATCGAAAACTATGTTGCTTCGACATTGTATTTCGGTTTGTTTAGGGTGGAAAGTGTGGAAAAAGGCGTGATAATATTTAATAATTGTATATTTATTACCGACCAAATCAATTAGTAACACTACAAAGTTTCAAAAACTGCATTAACACTCTGGTATACAGATATAGTGCATAAAAAAGACATTAAATAATACATATGAATAAATTACCATGCATTGAAGTACAGGGTGTTTATTAATCGAGTCCTTAAGGGTAATTTTCAGAATAAATATTAATAATAACCTATTAATTTTTGATATATAGTTGAACTTTTAACAAAAAAACACTTTTTATCATAAATGTCTCTATCCAAACATTCAATATCATGCCTGCCCGGAAGTCAATGCGCACCAAATTTCAAAAAAATATCAAAATCAATATCAATGAACGTAAAACATTTTCTTTTTGTTTTTCATTTTTTGGATTCAAAAGGTGAAGTCGGCCTTAAAAAAATATTTTTTTTTGGAAAATGTAAACCCAGAAAATCCTAAATCAAAAAATGCTCCTTAATCATTAAAGATAAATATCGAGAGTGCTAAGAAAATTATGATTTTTTTTTTGCTAAAAATTAAATATTCCAAAACACAAACTAAGAGGCTCAGAGAATATATTTATATTGAATTTCTTTCAGAAAGTTACAGATATTTCATCCAACAGATACATAGCAGTATACAAAATTTCGCTTCGATCGACGGGTACAAGACAGAGAGTTGTGTCGAATAAATCAGCTACTTGGACAGGATCATCCACGCCAATAATATTTTTCAATTTTTGATTTTTTTCGATTAATTTCAACACCCAACTCGTTTCTTTCCTTATTCTAGCAGCTAGAAATTTTTTGATATTTCGGATGGTTAACAGTGAGATAGACAGAAAAGAATTATCTGCATATAGCACACAGTCAAGAAAGTTTCAATTTCAGTACTTAACCTGCTGGTGTGTCAGTGCAAAAAAACTCGCGCATAAACGCTCTCGTATGATTTCTTTTTAGACAAAAATTTAATTAACAAAATAACAAAAATACAAAAGCAGACAGAAAAGACCGTGAGACTATATGTACCGCATTATTCATAACCTATATAAAAAAATGGCTTTTATGCACCTCTGCTATATTAAGAAATCAAAATGATGTTTGAAGCGGTGAAAAAAAGATGGACCGTAACCGCATCTTGTGTCAACCAATACATTTCTATGAGACACCCGCAATCATTCAAATTTTTCAGGTCGCCAAAATCATTAAATTATCGGCTAATAACAATCTGACGGAATAGTTAAAATCGTCGATATGGCTAATCAACAAATTTGTTTCGTTTGTTCATACATTTGGGATACAAACACAAAACAAATCCTAATTTCAAACACCCATGCAGAACTATTCTGTTTTATATATTGAATTATTAGAATATACACTTCACACCCTTATCGAAAAAACCTAACTGGCTTTTTAGGAAATTGTTTTATCATCTCGAGTGGGCTCTTATCCAGTTCCCTGTCTAAACAGAACTAAGTATTAACAAGTTAAGTATTCTGTGATGCAACGTAGTTTTTTTATGGCAGGAATTGTGTGTAAAGGAGCAACTGACCTGGCACAAGTCTCGGTCCGTTAGCGGCGCCTTCCAAATGAGATCCAGAACCATACTTAACGTGGCAGGGGTCAGCGTTGCTGGAAACTACCGCTATTTCATCAAGTTCGTGACAACCACCGCCTGTGGAGCCACCGCAGCTCGTCCCGCCCACCAAACGCCCTGCCGAGCTGTCCTGAAATAAACCAGACTTTAGCCACAATCTATCGTGTTGTTTTTAACCTCCTAAATCCAAATAAATACCACAAGAAAAAATTCAACCCCCAGTAGGCGCATATATATTTTCTTTACGATAAGGAAAATTTTCTCCATTCGACACCGTACATTCCAGATTGGACACTCGTTGGCTAACATTTTATTCACGCCATATTTTACAAATTGCTTTTCGTTGTTTGTTAATGCGTTTTCATCCTTTAGAAACGTGAAAAAATGTCAACATTGATTACTAACTACTCGTGAAAAGAAAAACTCTACTAAAAGGTTATGATGCTCGTCATCGAAATTCTCTGCTTCCTGGAGTATAAGTAAGATTGGCAAGTATGCTCAATAGGTTATTTAAGTTTTGTAAATATTATAGTGTAAAATATATACTAAAAATGGCGGAAAAGACGTACCATTACGAACTTGGCCGAAGAAATGTAGCATCGAATAAAATAGATGACTTAATCAAAAGACACTCAATTCATTTTAAAAATCCCAAATCCCTTTTCGCACTGTACTATACGTTATATAAGTACAACACAATTTTTAAAAATATCTTGCACATAAAAAAGCATCATTATAACCATATTCGATCAAAATTTAAACCTCTAACTCTCTTAAAGTATTGACCGCTGTCGACCCAACATAAAACATAACTCTCAATCACCAGATTACAAAATATATTTTCTTGATATGATAAAATATTTTCTATTTGCTTCTATTAAAATAGTTACTTTGTATAATACTAGGAATTTTATGCTGATAATTCATAAAGCTTAGATTTACCTGTGAACAAATTTTTTAAGATGCACTGGGGATGCTTTTTTGGTCCTTTGTACTGTATGCAACCTAAATTGTCAATAAATAAATAAATAAATAGTGATTTAATGTGATTATCTTCAAATCATCAATTAAAATTTAAATAACATACAGTCCTTGTCCATTGCTCAGTTAGTTTTATTGTAATTATTGCGTCTAATAAATATAATATAATTATACGAGGTTAGCGCCAAAATTTCCCAGGCAGCTCCAGTATCACGATAAAACATTGTCTTCTTTTAAGTATATCTCTTAGAAGACTGCCAAAAAAAAAATTAAGTCTTGCGCCAAACAGTTTCTTATTGACAGCATTTTCAACAAGACGTGTCCGAAAAAATGTCGCAAATAACGCAAATTGAGTATAGAGCAGTCCTAAAGTTTTTGACAAAAAAAAAGGTTAGCACCTAAAATTATTAAAGAAAGGCTGGGTGGTGTGTACGACCAAAGTTCTCCTTCGTATTCTGTAGTGAAGGAATGGGTAAAACGTTTTCGAATAGGGCAAGAGTCCCTTGAAGGTGATTCAAGGACTGGTTGACCAGTGGAGGTCATAACGGAAGATATTGTTGCGATTGTGGAAGAGGTGGAATTGAATGATCGACGTTTAAAGGTCAAGAAAATCTCAGAAATTACTAAGATTTCTGATACAAGTGTTCGTCGAATCCTGCATGATCATTGCATAAGGTTAGTGAAAGATGGGTTCCTAAAAACCTATCGGCTATTCAAAAACAACGCCGTGTCCAGTGGGCGCGGTCTTTTTTGGAACTCTGTGGATCGGAACCGAAGACTGTGATACAAACTATTGTGACGAGAGATGAAACTGTGGTTCTCTATTATGACCCTGTATCGAAAAAAGAATCAATGGAGTGACGTCAAAAGGGTGAAGCACCTCCGAGAAAATGCAGAGTTTGCTAGTCAACAAAAAAGGTGATGGCCACGATCTTTTGGGATTGTGAAGGAATTATTTTGATAGATTTTAAAGAAACTAATATCACTGTCAATGGTAAATATCACGCAACATTATTACATAAATTGCGAGACTGCATACGTGCAAAACGTCGAAGAAAACTAACCAGAGGTGTGCGTCTTTTGCACGATAATGCACCTGTCCATACTGCTGGTGTTGCACAAGCTGCCATTTTAGAGTGTGGGTTCCAACAGATAGATCATCCACCCTATAGTCCAGATATGGCCCCCAGCGACTATTATTTGTTTGAATATTTGTAAAAGGACTACATGGACGGCGCCTTAACGGCGAAGTTGAGTTAAAAGAAGCTGTTTTAGCTTGTTTTGCAAACAAACCAAAAGAATATTTTTTTAAAGGGATTGAGTTAATAAAGATGTAATAAGTGTATTGAAGTTAAAGGGATTATATTGAAAATTAATTAATTAATAACAATTTTGATTCTTTCATATTCAGGACGAGAAATTTTGGCGCTGCTCTCATATAAATATATTACTGTCAAAGCAAGCAGCTGTTCATATATATCACTACCGCTAAATCTAATAAATTATGACAATTGCGTTGTATCTGAAGATCACTTCTAAAATACTTGCACAACTCTTCAATATAAATATATCTCATGCGTTCTCATTATTGTTATTCCTGACAAAAGGGGGCAGACGGTTCAGGTTTCGATTTGCCGCATGCTTCTCTTTTAGTTTTGTCTTGTAGATGGTGTTGCTCATTCAGCTTATACCGACCATTCAACGTTTTTGAGAGAGTACGAAGTGCAGCTCAAGTTAGTCCCCGTTTTACGTTAGAAATTTATCATAGCTTTGTCGGAGGTAGTCTCACCTATAATTCATTGTTTTACACATGAGTGAAAAGCTATGAAATGTTGAAGGTTCATAATTCGTTAAAATAAGTTGCTGATTCGACCAAGTTTTTTTTTTTTTTAAACATTGACCAGACCATTGACCAATCTTAATTTCATCTTTCTAATTGATTAAAGGACTTTGAAAAGATAAAAACACGTGACTGATAACGGTAGGAAGGCAGCGAATTGTTTATATTGGCTGCAGGTTTCTGGTCATTGTATCAACGAATTGTCGGGTGCCCTTTTGTAACATCTCTATTTCAAATTTTTCGTATCAGAAATATGTCGTGTGCAATTAATTGGCAGCTGTTCACCTGTGATTGTTTCCTTCCTCTCCAACTGAGAACCAGACGTTTAGCTGTGGACATCACCACGTGGAGTGCTTGCCGCGGGATTTCGTCCGCGGCAGCCCAGTTGGACGCCGGCACTGCCGTTGGCCGTTCAAACGGCACATAACTGAGAGGCCCCAAATTGTTGAGATAAAAGCGACGCGCCAACTTCCGTATACTCAAGTTGCGACTCGATGATCGGCATCTGCGAACAAAAAACGTTCCAAAATTTACCAAACTTAACTCTTCTAACAATTACATTTAATACAATTACAAATTAATTATCATAATATAATTAACACTGGTTAGTTTCATAAATAATAATTATAATATATATCATTCTTATCATTTTCAATGATGAGTTAAAAGAAACAACAGCACACATAGTTTCCAACTTTCGGGATAGATAGAAACACTAGAAGATAATAATTAGGTTTATTTTGGTTTATTTAATTAATATTAATTATAACAATTAGGATCATTCAAATATCGATAAGCCCGACAATATTCCATAAAAATAATTTATCATTCGCACTATCATTGGAAATTTTCCGTTTTCGGTGAGAGTAGAATTTGGAACACTCGGTATAAGAAGTTTATATAAGGTGTTCGTAAATTGAGTTTGGAAACTTGGAGGAAAGATTCAACATGTTAAAATAATGGTAGTAAGACATGTGACAACAATTTGAAATCGTAATATTTTCCGATTTATAGCTTCTCAAAGTTAATTTTTTTAAATTTTATTTTTAACGCAGCTTAATTATCAACGCAATAAGCTGGTATTTTACGCAGCCCTGATTTAGTAAAAGTCATAGTTACAAAATAAAAGTGTTTCAGGAATCTATCACTGGAGGGCACTTTACCTAGAACATTTTTTTTATTTTCCTGTATTATATTTATTTAGACTGATATTGCAAAATAGAACAGATTGCCTTAAGCATCAGCACAAATCCTTAAAAACTGCTACTCTTGTTTTAAGTAGATAAGTGTTGTCGTTTTAAGCAAGTGGAAATGCAAGCTAGCGTTATTAATCTGCAGGCGACGTGCACTACATTTTTCAAAACAGTATGCTACAAATTAAAAAAATGAAAAATGGCATAAGTCAAAGCAATAACATGTTTAATCTAAGTAACATAAATAATTATTAATAATAATCGGGAATTAAACAGCATTACAATTACAATTCATTTTCAAAATGCCCACCTTTCATTTCTAAACATTTTTTTATACATTTTAAAAAATGCTATCAAACACAATAAAATACACCTAGAGTAGCGTAGATCATTGATATCTGTTATAGATATTTCATACACTAAAAACTTTAAGTCCGTCGGATTTCAAATGCCTGATTTAAATACCTTCGTACAGCAAACGCAAAATAGAGTGGAGCATTAACCACATGTATGGTATATCCTCTACCAAAGGTGGTAGTTCCTCTTGGAGAAATTGCAAATACAATTTCCCCATTAAGCGATCCGTTAGATTAACTCATATAATCCCTGGCCAATTTTGGATGTGGGTTTTCAATGTTCGACTGGTGCATATTTCGAAAATTTAGAATTCCATCACGACTGAATGCAGCCTCGTCAGTGAACAAAATGACATTTAAAAATTGAGGGTAATTTTGAATTTTTCCTAAAATTTTATTGCATAAAATTACTCTCATCACCCTCATCCAGTACTTGAATCCTTTGAACATGAAAGGACCGAAGATCATTTTCATGCAAAACCTCCCAAATTGTAAAGCAAGCAATTCTTTCTTGAAGAGCAAGCTTTTTCCTACTCCATATTTGGAAGTATTCTTTCTTCTTTTACAGCGGTTCTTTTATATCTTGATCTCCCTTTCCTCATATTATCAGGTTTGAACATGTGTTCTGTGTATGTTGATGAATGTCTTAGCAGATGCAACGTTTCTATTGGGATAAGGGATATAAAGCTGTCGTGCTTGATCTACATTTCCATTTGCTCTTCCGTACCAAAAATGCATATCGCGACATTTGGTATTTGAATATTCCTGATGGGCCATCACAGTAGCAGGTGGATAATAAGCTCCTTTAATAGAAACTAATTCTTAACGTATTGTGACAATGACTTTCTCAAATTTCATTAAGTCCTGTTAGGTAAAATCACATGATTCTACTTAAGGTAATCTGTTATATTTTGCAATATTGACAAGTTATAACTCGGAACATTTTAAGATTTAGAATTTTTGTTACATTATTTTACCAGGTTGAACATTCCCTCCAAATTTCCGATCACCCTGTATATAATGATATTAAGTTTTATATTTCGTGGGTGATCCTTAAATGTTAAATTCAGTCAAAAATACAGTAAAACAAAGTGAGACAACTTGTTGCACGTAGCTCTTCCTGTAATCCATACGATACTCATGATTTATGGAGTCAAGAGCATTGGAGAAGTCCAGCTTAACAGTCAGTATCTCTCAAAATTTAACTAAACTAAAAACTAAACAGCGTATTATTTTATGTACCTTATTGTTTCGGTGATAGAATATGATAGTTTGTGTTGGTAGCACTAAATCACTAAATTTTCCAATAATTGAATTCTATCATGCTTTGCTATACAATTCTTGCACAGTATTCACGAATTATTACACCATGGTTTTTATTTCAATGAAAATCTTTTATGAGATTTTAATTCAAACCTTCATAGAATTTCGAAAAGCGAAACTCTGTTAAGTGACGATTTCCACCGAACATTTGTAGCGATAATAAATATTATTGTTATAATAATTTTCGTTATATTTGTGCAAAAGTGGGAAGGGTTTATTAAAACATATTGGTTCTTAACACACATTAATTTGAATTTCATTCCAATGTAGCTTGCAAATGAGTATCCATGGTATTGTTTTTAATAGTAGCGTTTCAAAATTTCAGTTATTTCCTGTACGTTTTACTGTATTTGCCATTTTTATTTTTTTTTAAATTAATTGAAAAACACCAATTAATTAATTCCTTTGCTGTGGAATAGCCAAAAATCGTTGAAAGCTACTATTCAAATATTATAAAAATATATTTCGGATATACTTTTACTTTGAAAAATTAAAAATTACTTGTCACTGCAAAAACGTTCGTAATTTAGTCAATAAAGCCACCTGTCAGTCAAAGACCAGACCTCTATCAACCACTTTATACATCACGAACCGATAAATCCAGTTGACAGCAAACTATTAAGTTCCGATAAACTTCCTGGGGGCAAAAAGGATACACGGAGATAGTGGGAAGTCTAAACGTTGACGGGATATCTTGTACGTTTAAAGGGCGGTTCTTATGAAAGGCGATGCTGTAATTCACTGGCATTGGTTTTTTTATCATAAAAGAGGAGATATAGATTCTAGTGAGTTTTAGCTTCTACTTCAGTTATAGATTAATGGTAATTTATTACACTTCTTGTGTAGAAAAAACAAATACGAACAAAATAACAAATATCGAAATGATATTCAGATACTATATTAAGCAAAGTTTTATTGGTTTGAAATAAGAAACTATTTCCAAATATTGCCTAAATAACTACTTCATCTGTGGGGAAACTCTAATATAGTTTTGATCGCGAAGATTTACATTGTGAGTATAATCCCTGAATTGCATTTAAAAATATATTAATAACAGCTTTGGGCAGTACAACCGTCATATATGTTGTTTCGCAAATAAGTACACCGATCTAGGGTGCGGAAAGTGTCATTTTACCACGCCAGTTTCGTTTGCTACGGCTGCGAGCCAGGATAATTAAATCACAGGTTTGGGAGCAATTGGACGTTTTCGGAGGTATTACGGCACGGCTTGAATTTTGACGTTTGTCAATTCTGACGGTCATGTCAGAGAATATATTCGTGTTGTTTTGCAAAAATGTACCCAGTAACTAGCGGTCATAGAAAAACTATAGTATGTAAATGTAGTATGGCACTGCAGCACTCCTTCCGCTTGTGCCAAATAAATTCGTGAGTCAAATGCGATTTACCAGCCTAGTTGGATAATATACTAATTGTCAATTCAATCCAAATATGGCATGTAACTACCGTCGTCAAAGTTTGACAAAACTAAATGAATTGGTTAACACATAATAAGCTAATCAATTTAAGAAAAATAAACAAAAAACAATAATTACAGATAATTAAATTAATGTCAATCAATAAACAAAACCAACTTGATGATTGATGAGATAAATATGTACAGGGTGTTCAAAGAGTGTGTCAAAGTAATATATCTCGTTTATTAATTGTTTTAGAGAAAAATGTTAAATACGTAAGTTATAGATAAGACTAAAAGAAAAAAAATTAAAAATGTATACATATATATTTAAATGTACACTCCCTTCTTTCCTCAAGTACCCAATGTAGGGTTGTTATGGTCTACACTGAGTCGGATTTATACTAATGCTCTTTCAATTTTATATACCTATACCTAAACTTAGTATCTTTTGAGGCACACGTTTTTACTAACAAAATCCAAAATTTTCTCAAATTATGAGAAAACATCGCCAAGAAAATAGGTATATTTTTAATTTTATGAAAAAATGTTTCTTTCCATTAATTAAGAAATTCTGATTTTCTTAAAGCCCGAAATATTATTGATCTATAAATAATGTTTTCAGATCGCATCTTTTCGTGCAAATGTAAATCGGCCATCCAAACTAAAAAATTATTTGAAAACTGACAATTTTGTATTAGTTTTCTCAATTAATTTTGGCATTTTTGAAGAAAAAATGGCCACAAATGCGAAAACACTCGATAGAGACCATAACAACCCTACATTGGGTGATTGAGTATAAAAGGTAGAATCTAGTGGTGGAATAATATACAGGGTGTTTCGTTTAAAAAAGTTTGGTTTGGCACATACTTATGAACCACCCTGTACAATTGAAAATTATTTTAAATTGTTTATTTTAGTTTCATCTAAAAGTTTTGTATTTAACATCTTTTTCTAAAACAAATAATTTGACACCACTATTTGGACACCCCGTATTATGCAACAAGCTTGATAAATGCTATTTGGGTCACGAGTTTGATTTGGCAACGAACCAACGAGTGACTGACGAAGTTTATCTTCCCGTTGGTATGCTATTCTTTTTCTACGACCACTAGTTTTTGGGTACATTTTTGAAAACCAGCAAGTTTGTTTGAAACAAGCATAAACTGGTAATCAGCAAAATTTAAGAAGTGTACAGGGTTGTTTACTCAAACCATAC